ACAAGTTATCGACTGAGAGAAAATAGCTAATAAAAATTAGCGACTGGCAATATGGATATATTGTGGTGTGATTTGGTGTTTCTGTGCCCGGCGTACAGTGGCGCGCAATTTGAATTTAGGAATTGTGACAAAAATATGAATAATTTGAATAAAAATACGAAAGTAAAATGTTTGATTCCAGCTCCTTTCAACGCTCATAACTCAGTCCAGACTGACATTTCCATATATGAGCGCATAGACAATTTCGTTTGTACTGACATTCTAGATAATATTTTCCATAAACCATCGACTGCCGCCAGAAAAAAGAAAGGCACCAATTTTAGTCAATGCCCTTAACAAACAGCAGAGATCTTGCAGACTAATACTTATTTATATGCACCAAACCTGTAATACATTTAACACAACATCATTTACAAAAACTTAATATACACAGAGACCTTAAAGAGTTGACTTACAGGCAATATCTATCTAGGATGAGAGATGATACAATTTTTTTAACAAATCTCGTCGTTTACAAGTGGCATTTTATTCCACCAGGTGGCTCTAAGCATAGCTCAAGTCCCGCGTCGCCTGGCAGCGCCGTCCAAGGAGGAAGTACTATGCGCGGCGGCGCGGCGTCCGCTCCACGTGCGCGTGTTGTTACTGGACGGGAAGCAACACGGTCTAGTGTTCGGGCCCGCCGCCACTGCCGACCATCTCGTCACCATGCTCAGGGAGAAGATCGGGCTTAGTGATGCTGCTACAGGTAATTTAGATCTTGGAAATCTTTGTATCACACTTAATTTTTTTAGATTTGTTGTCTAGAGATAGTTATTGAAAATATTGTGAGAAATTATTTCTTTTGCATTGTCAATTTCACAATTATTCAATTTTGTAACCGATTTAATATTGAAGATACGATCTAAGATCAGTTGATTATTATATCATATTGTTTTTAAAACTACTGGTTTCGCATGATAGATAATTGAACTTCAGCTCATAGGGAGCTACAGGGAAAGTAGGAAGAAGGAGTAAAAATATTCCTAATATTCCCCCAGGTTACGCCCTGTACGAGGTGTGCGCCAACTCGACCCCGGCGGGGGCGGGCGAGCGCGCGCTGGCGGGCAGCGAGCGCGTCGGGGACGTACTCGCGCGCTGGGAGAAGGCCGGCGCCACCGCCGCCGCCTGCAGGTACTGGGGTTTACACTTATTTCTAATATGTTAAAGTTGAAAATGAATTAAAGTTTGATTGATTATAATAACTTGTATATGCTGGGTACTTGGCATGAGGTATGACTATTAATGTATTTACAGTAAGGTTTGGAATGACTTGTTGTATTACAATTAGCGTAATATAGTTTAGGGGCCCGTGAGATAAACAATTTTACAAAAAGACAAAAAAATTATCCACACAATTTTGTTTATCTCTATATGGCGTATGCGGTAGCTTATAATTTCAGAGATGACCAATTTCCTTACTTTATCTATAAATATTACTGTCCTATCAGACTAGTGTTCAAGAAGCGATTGTTCCTGGGCGAGCGTCCGCTACAGACGTCATGCGCGGCGGAGATGGAACTATTGTACTACCAAGTGTTGCACTCTGTACGACACGACAGATTGCCCATCGAGACCGACGAGGCTGTGAGTATTTCATATAACATCCAGTTGGCAATGATCGTTTTGAGTAAGATAATCTGCAGGGAGTCGTTTTTCGGCATCAAAAAATCGGCGTAAAACGATGCATATTCAATTATTGTAAAAGCGTTGTTAACCACGGGGGGCCTTTAGCCGCGACTGCGTATGGAGGCTTAAGTGTTACGTTTGCCTGTTTCCTTTTTATGTAATAAAATTGTGTGTGTGTGGCAGGTGATGCTGGCGGCGCTGCACGCGCAGGTGGTGAAGGGCGAGTGCGCGGGCGGCGGCGAGGAGTGCGCGCTGGCGGCGGGCGCCGTGCTGCCGGCGCGCCTGGCGCAGCCCGCGCTGCCCGCGCCCGCCGTGCGCCTGCACCACCTCGCGCTGCGCGGCACGCCGCCGGCCCTCGCCATGCAGCGCGCGCTCACGCTGGCCTCGTCCTGGCCGCTCACACGGGCCACCATCTTCGATGTCATGGTCAGTACTACACTTGGTTACCCTATAACAATGGCTACCGTATTTCTGCTTACTAGATGACGCTAGTGTGACATCTCGTTTTTCGTCCAATAGGGAGTTAGCTAGCAGTGATTGGACAAAAAGCTCTTGTTACATTTGCGCTATCTGGTGACCAAAAAAGTAGTTACATACATTTGTGATATTTGAATATATTATATTTTGATTTAGTATACATATTTCAGGATTGTCGTTACTCAATTTCTAATCAATAACATTTGTACACCAGCAATCGTTCACATCGAACTGGCCGCGCGCGCTGTGGCTGGCAGTGGACGCGCGCGGACTGACCCTGTTGCGGCGCGGCTCCCGCGCGGCGCTAGTGTCGCACGACCACGACCAACTGCTGGCCGTGTCGCCGGCGCCGCGGGCGTTGTTGCTCGTCACTCGCGCTGACCGGAAACATGCTAAACTAGTGCTCTCTACTGATCAGGTATGTACTGATTGATATTGATGAAGATACAACAACAATAAGGTAATGATGGAGTTTCTTGCTCATTCTTCTCCTTCTACTTATTGACTGATTCACTTGTGTAGACATAAAATGACTTTGGTCAATGGATATGTAAATAATAAATAATTTTGCGTGTACAACAGGCGTACCAGATCGCGACACTGATCAAGGACTACATCGAGGCAGTACGCGGGCCGGTGTCCCCGGCGGTGGCGCAGGCCGGGGCGGGCCCGGCGGCCGCCTCGTGACACCCGGCCGCCTAGTGCCAGTGCTTCCACGTCCGGCGCTGAGCGCGCTCAGCACAGATAGCACGCAGGACATGTTCGACACGCGACCGCTCACTACACGACGACGTGATTTCTAATAATACATCGATTTTAACACGTACAAACTTCTCTCGAATTTAAAAACATAACTCGATCGATTCAGCAATGAAGTACTTTGACGAAGAAATATGAATTCGAGACGTTTAAAATTAACTTTATAATTCGAGTCTTCCACTCAGTTTTTTGAGTTCAACTAATTAAATCACTTGATCGTTGTAGTAGTATAAAAATTGATGATTCTACTCCAAGGATATTAAAATATTAGTGTAATAGTGTCTTTGGAGTTGATACGCTCGCGGCTCGAACAAGGTAGGGAATGCCAATACAGGAGAAATGAATGTTGACGGTGACAGTAAATGGATCTGAATGCGGAAGGCATTAGCTCAAGCGACCCAGCGCGGTGCGTACCTGCCCGGGTACACACCGCGCACCATTATAACTCTTTATTTAAATAATTACAATTAGTTAAATGTCATTATGAACGAATAAACATTTACTTCACAGCAACAGGTCTGATATCAAAGTGGTGTTCGGTTTTGAGTGACAGAATGGACGATTTAAGTTGCCAGCAAGACGGGGAAGCAAAAATAAAATAATCCACATACCTTCATAGTCGATAAATTAAACAATTTTAATCCACTATCTTATAATAGTTGTTATATTCCAATCTATTAAATTCCTCAAAAATATATGCCAGTATTATTACTGTTGTAATGTTAGATAAATGTTGCAGTTAGACTTATTGACCGTTGATGTTAAGATTTGTCTGGTAGATAGTAATCACTCTTATTCCCTTTAGTCTGGTAATGTAAGATCTTAACGTATTGACAATTTAGAACTATATGTGTTAGATGTGAACGCTGAACTAGCGAGATGTTGATACGAGCGGCTAAGCCAACCCACTGTAAATCGTTATAGCATAATGATATTCTAAACTATATCTGTTGTAGTAAATATGTGATAGTGACTACGTGGAGGGTACAGACAACTGCGAAGTGAGAGTACAATCAGTGTATTGTGTATGTCACCCAGTTAGACATGTTGTTGTATATTGTGACGTGACGTGATTAGTATGACAAGTATTCTTACTTCAGTTGTCTGTACGCCCACTAATATCTCTGCTAACATTTCAGATTCCTACTGTGTATCCTATTTTAGTGTATTCAATATCTTCCCAGTACATCACAATATAAATAAGCCTATAGCAAATACACTTTAAACTCTTGTTTTGTGCCTTGTATAAATACTGACATAATAATGCTGACTGTCCCCTACATCTCTATAAATTGTATTTATCAATTGAAATAAAGGAGTTTGTCTGAGACAGTCAGCATGCATTATGTAGCGTATTGAATTCAGTGAGCGATTTGTGCAAATTTATTGTGACTGCAAAATAATTACTGATTGTTTGAAAATATAACTTCTATCATGCACACTATATTGCACAATGTTATGTCTCAATATTTTATTGTAATAAAAAATATTATATTTGGTATATACTAGAGCTAATTGGAATGTAAGAAATTTACTTCGTTAGTAGCACTTAAGATGTTTAGTCGCTGCGTGTTCTGCGACTTTAGTCATTGTTTGGCGCTACATTTGCTTGCACAATTTTAGTACAGAATCAGATTATTCTGAATCAAGTACATTGCAAGTATATATCAGCCGAAGTAGATATATTTATGCGAGTAACAGCTTTATATCCATACTTTGACAAGCAGTAGAGCAATTAGCAGAATTAAACTAAAGAATCAGAAACGCAGCGAAATAATTTAATCGAGATTCGATATCCCTTTGTTATATATATAAATGGACGTATTTACACATAATATCGTTATGTCTATGTCTCGTTCTAATATTACAAAGGACACGCGATATTTTGAACTTCTTTGGTGCTTGTATTTGTAGCCAGAGTTGCTCAGCTTGTGTTTCTGATCTCATATCGAGTATTATTTATTTAGATGCCATATTTGTTTACGAGCAATATTAATTTGATTAGGTTATATATATTTATAATTATGTATTTTGATAACTTGTATATAAATTGGTGAACCAAAGACTTTGAATCGTCCCTTTGGATATTTTATCTTTTATGGATTCCGATTACGGCATTTAATTTTGTAAATAGTTATAGACATAGCATACTTATTGACGTGAAATTCTCATAATATCATAGAGGCTGAAATTAAATTAAATTATATTGGAATATTTGGCATTCTGTACGTTTTGGCTTTCGGCTTGTTAAGTCAATTATTTAATATTATTATGTACTAACACTTGATGTATTTAGAAAGCAAATTCGCGCTCGTGATTATCATAGGACTGGTTGCATTGTAAACATTTTCCGAAACGATGAAACGGCATCGAATGAATATTAGAGTACTTGTCGAAAGTAGTTGAATATTTATTGTAACGACTGTAGTTTTAGATGGCAATAGCAAGATATCAGTTCCGTGCTAATGACAAGCGCCTACTAACATTGAGCACTAATCTATAGACAATATTTCAAAATTGAATGTTTCTCATAGCAGTAAGTTTAGTAATATAGGATAATGGAAGTCAGTGAAACATCGACAAATACACGAGCACGTGTCTCATCATGTACCACCACTCAAACTGCCCAAATAGACTGAAGGTGTCCAAATATTTTATCATTTTTGATGGATTGTTTTTGTTACATTGTGTATGGAATTTTACCCTATTATTTGAATGCCAAATAAATGATTACAAAGTGATTTTCATTGGTTTTTTATTGAAAACAATATTTTGTATTTGTACACTTATTATTTATTTTTTTATTTATAAATGTTACTGTGTTACTAATCCTAGGTAATCGTCCATCAATGTTCCAATGGCGAACTGGAAAAGAAATAAAATTTTATCAACACAATAGTACGTAATAAATTGCACTATAGTCTGGATGAAGAGGAGTGGGAGATTGTCAGATGTTTTAAGAAAACTGGGAGATTGTCAGATGTTTTAAGAAAACTGGGAGATTGTCAGATGTTTTAAGAAAACTGGGAGATTGTCTGATGTTTTATGAATGGTGGGAGATTGTCAGATGTTTTATGGAAACTGGGAGATTGTCAGATGTTTTAAGAAAACTGGGAGGATGTCAGATGCTTTATGAATGGTGGGTGATTGTCAGATGCTTTATAAATGGTGGGAGATTGTCAGATGTTTTATGAATGGTGGGAGATTGTCAGATGTTTTATGAAAGGTGGGAGATTGTCAGACGTTTTATGGAAACTGGGAGATTGTCAGATGTTTTAAGAAAACTGGGAGGATGGCAGATGCTTTATCCCACCATTCGGTGGGAGATTGTCAGATGTTTTATGAATGGTGGGAGATTGTCAGATGTTTTATGAAAGGTGGGAGATTGTCAGATGTTTTATGAAAGGTGGGGGATTGTCAGATGTTTTAAGAAAACTGGGAGATTGTCAGATGTTTTATGAAAACTGGGAGATTGTCAGATGTTTTATGGAAACTGGGAGATTGTCAGATGTTTTATGAAAGGTGGGAGATTGTCAGATGTTTTATGGAAACTGGGAGATTGTCAGATGTTTTATGAAAGGTGGGAGATTGTCAGATGTTTTATGAAAGGTGGGGGATTGTCAGATGTTTTAAGAAAACTGGGAGATTGTCAGATGTTTTATGAAAACTGGGAGATTGTCAGATGTTTTATGGAAACTGGGAGATTGTCAGATGTTTTATGAAAGGTGGGAGATTGTCAGATGTTTTATGAAAACTGGGAGATTGTCAGATGTTTTATGGAAACTGGGAGATTGTCAGATGTTTTATGAAAGGTGGGAGATTGTCAGATGTTTTATGGAAGGTGGGGGATTGTCAGATGTTTTAAGAAAACTGGGAGATTGTCAGATGTTTTATGAAAACTGGGAGATTGTCAGATGTTTTATGGAAACTGGGAGATTGTCAGATGTTTTATGAAAGGTGGGAGATTGTCAGATGTTTTATGAAAGGTGGGGGATTGTCAGATGTTTTAAGAAAACTGGGAGATTGTCAGATGTTTTATGAAAACTGGGAGATTGTCAGATGTTTTATGGAAACTGGGAGATTGTCAGATGTTTTATGAAAGGTGGGAGATTGTCAGATGTTTTATGAAAACTGGGAGGTTGTCAGATGTTTTATGAAAACTAGGAGATTGTCAGATGTTTTTTACTGCATAGTGGAAAATTTTCATTGCCTCCGATAAACTTCACTCTCATGACGAAACACAACGCTAGCTTTGTCTCACGTTGGTTTTCTATGAGGCCTTTGTGTTACTCTGGTCGAGCCAGTGTTGTCGAGCCTGGTGATTTTTGCCGAAGTATAAGTCTGACACTTTATAGGTATATAAACGATAGACGATCATATAAAAAGCGGGAAGTATTAATGAAAAAAAAACTCACAATGCCAGTAGCATCCACCCTAGTACCAACTATCTTAAGCCGGATGACATCCTCTTCCTGTATGACATTATCTTCCTGTTTACTCTTGTAGCATGGGGGATTCACATTTGGACAGAACTCCATATCAGCGGGAATGGACTGAAAATAAAAATAATTTATCACAAATTATTGCATCATACATTTGGATGTTTAACAAGCCACTGAAGTTTGATTTGGAGTTGAGGAAAACACAGTTAAAATTTTGTGTTATCCAAATCAATTCAGTTAAAAAGGGGTGTGCCCGTTAAGCAGCTGTAGCCAAATGCCATTTAGCGCTTGTCTTCATGTAGAATAGAAAACCAAATTAAATGGAATTGACATAAATGACACTTGCCAGTGTCATCCCCGTACATTTTGATTTCTACTCTCTCTGTAGACAAGCGCTAAGGGCGTTTGGCTAAAGGCCTAGGTTAAACTGTTTGTAACTTTTACTTACATGATGTGAAATGAAACAACTCAATGGCCCAATTTGTGCAAACATTCCAACCTGAAAATAAAAGATGTATTGCAATTAACCAATACTTTTGCAGGCAATTATTAGGCTTTTCCATCCATCTATCTGTAGAAGAGCTAGTTTTCTTAACTTACCTTATTAACTTGAGTAACAATAGCATCAAGGACCTCCCCCTTGAATGGCCGGAACACTATCGCCTTGTACTTGACAGGGTACACCACAAACCCCTGTCCTGGCTGGATCAGACCAGCTCCTATACTGTCTATTGCAGTCACAGCTATCACAAAACCATACCTGAAACATAAGATGTATTGTTACAGGATACTAGAAAGTGGGCAGCAAGTAGATATATAATAGTTGTGATTTTAACCCATTGGAAATTGTTGAAAATCATCCCTCAAATTTGGTTATACAAAAGTAGTCTCTAAACATTGGAAATTAGGTCTATAATGTAGTTAGAATAGAGCGGTCACCGGTGACCGCTTTGGGATATATAGGTTAACTTAACACTACAACAGCAAAAATATATTGCATTTATGGAATAACTTTCTGTTAGACAAACTGACACATTTGCTATAGAATAAATTACCACACAATTAGATTAACACTGATACTAGCTCAGTGGGTATTTAGGGATGGTAAGTGAGAAATGAAAACACGGGTGATGGGTGTTATATGAAAAACAAGAACATAACCTTAAATCGAATATATGATTCACAAAGTTTATAACTCACTTTCCCGTACAAGTGCCCTCCACTTCAGTATATAACTTCTGCTTTACTATATCTAGCAACTGCGGCCCAAAATACCGAGGGTGCAGAAGAATTTCATGTTCTAATGATATCTGAAACAATTTGTTTATAAACATCAATTCATAATACCGAGAGTAAATGCTGAATAAAAAGGCAATTTAACTTACATGATAAAACATAGTGGAACTTAATTGTGTACACTTATAAATACTTTCTATTCATATTACATACAACATTAACAATAATAAATTAAAACGTACACGCTAAAATAAACGCTACACTGTGAACGAAAAGCGTCGCCGTCGCCGTTGTACAACAAAATAATGTCAATGTCACTAATTGTCAAATCGCTTATCAACAGATAACAAAGAAACACTCATTGATATTACAGCAAAAAATCTATTTTATAGGTACTTTTATTCAATTGAAATAAAATATTATAATAATTAAACAATATTTTTATTAAAAATGGAAGCATCAGAAATGCGATTGCTATACAATTTATTTTGCTTAGTAAGTATCATTAATATCATAAAAATCGGTATTACACGAGTCGTTCTTTGAACCGAATTTTACAACATTGTTTTGTGGCATCACTAGTGATTACTCAAAAATGCCAAATGAATGGCAGACCTATGTGTATCGTAATCAGATTGTTGTAAAAAATGGCAAAAACTTACGATTATTTATTTAAATTACTTTTGATAGGAGATTCTGGTGTCGGAAAAACATCTATATTATTCAGATTTTCAGAAGATGCTTTCAATATTTCATTTATCTCGACTATTGGTGAGTACTTTGATTCAAGTCTTTATATCAAAGGTTATTGTCAGATATTTTTTACGTATATTGTCATGAACAGGATTTTTTGTTTCCACGATCATTGTGTCTGTTATTTATCGTTATACATATTGATGGCGGATAGGGCGCGGTGCCTTGTTACACGGAGCCCTTATCGAACTAAATGAATCGAGAGTTTATGACATCATACACACTATAGTCAGAATTTTAATTAGATTCCAGATTTGATAATGGCTACTGTCATTTTGTGAAATAATGATACCACATATAGTAGGGTAGTGATGAACACAAAAATCGATAAACAATCGGTGTGTGTGTTTTGTAATAAATGTTACAGTAAGTGACAGGATAGCGTAGCGATGACGACGACAATTTATAAAATACCTTATTACCATAATACATCTATCTGTTTTATTTGTCATGTTCCTTCATGATTACATTTTTTTATTTATTTCACACACAATTATAAAAGAAAAGTCTCAGATTGTCAATTAATCGTCAAAACTAAATTATCGGTTCAGAAATATTTAATTTCCTGATGTACTTAGTTTACGAGAGTAAAATTATAAACGAGAAGAATCGATCCAGAAATATTCGATATGGAAATGCATTCCATATCGAATAATTTCGCAACGTCACTATTTAGTACTTGTCATAACGTTGCAACACTGAAATTGTCAAATCTGGAATCGAATTAAAATTCTGAGTATAATTAATTAGTTGACTCCCGAATAACTAGTGGACTGTTGGTTGCAGGTATTGACTTTAAAATTCGTACGATAGACTTGGACGGGAAAAAAGTAAAATTACAAATATGGTGAGTTTTTGATAATTTTATTGTAAACCTTTTTGTTTGAGAATGAGACCTTTTACGAGGCGCGGTCAAGTTAAAGTTAGTGGCCAGTTTTGCAACCGTAAATGAGTAATGAGGCTAGTGCAATGTACTCACTTCCTTTCTTCAGGCTATCAACACAATGGCTCTACTCAACACAACTGATGTTCTGTGAGACATTCAAGGAACAAAACAACAATTTACATTTGCTCAATATTTGTGTGTCATAGTCATGCTTGATCTAAGTTGACTATTGTAGAAGTATTGGCATTGCTATTTTTAGTATCCATATGAAAGCGATAGCTAACTATAATACCTAAATAGTAAAATATACATTATCCTTCTATTATTGCAAACACTACTATAATAAAATATGTACCTATTTATGTCATAATTGTAACAATTGAACAATAAAATTCTCTTAACAATAAAAAGAGAAGAATCTATAAGTACTTGTGCATATTACAGGGACACTGCTGGCCAGGAAAGATTTCGTACAATCACAACAGCATACTACCGTGGTTCTATGGGCATAATGCTTGTTTATGATGTAACAAATGAAAAGAGCTTTGAAAATATAAAGAATTGGATCAGGAATATTGAAGAAAATGCCAGTGCCGATGTTGAAAAGATGATTCTTGGAAACAAGTGTGATTTAGAGGCTAAAAGACAGGTGAGTACACAAATACTACACTTCTCATTCTTCTTATTGTCCTTACCCAAATCAATTTGAAAACAGTATTTATACCTTCTTTTTCTATTCTCCAAAACAAAAACTACAGACATATAGAAAACTTTCTAACTAATGTAATTAATAAGAAAGACTCTCTATCTCTAGTCATTATGTGTTTACTGTGATGATGTTGTTCCATTAAAAATAGCATCTACCTTTTCAAAGGTCAATGAACCATTTCTAACATTAAATGTAAAACCAATTTTCATATAAATTCAATCTGCATTACTAACATTATCAAACAAATCATTATAATTAGTTCTGAACAATACTTAATTAGACTAAAAACATGATTTCCCCTACAGCAGGACAGAGTTGTATGAAAAATATATATAAATATACTTACATATTATAATGTTTGATAATGCCCTGAAAGTAATATGGTTTTCCTACTGTTGGAACTCTATGGGCGCTGTTATCAATAATATTATGTTGGTATTGGATTTGATAAGTGGCAAATGTAGTTGTTAATGTCACAATCACATACATGACTCATCCGTTTGCCGGTACTTTATCTTCATGGGTACAAATATGATAAGTCGAGTGGATTAACTGAGGGCAGCTAACAAGCTCAATAATGTTATATTTATGTCAAAATGTATAATTAATTTAGTTATTGTTATATAATTTTATAAACAGTTTTATGAAGTTTACTGTTTGCAAATTAAGTACCTTTGAATAGAATAGGAACTTGATATTTTTACCATAAATCTTCTTGAAGTATTCTTCTTCTTATTCTTTATTCTTGAAGTAAGTAAAAAGAATAAAAATGGGAAATACCCAATAGGGTAGCAATAGACTAAGAAACTACAACTAAAACATTTCTATTATAATTTCTAGGTATCAAAAGAACGAGGTGAACAGTTAGCCGTAGAATATCAGATTAAATTTATAGAAACTTCAGCGAAAGACTCCTTAAATGTAGAGTCGGCGTTTTATACCCTAGCAAGAGATATCAAGGCGAAAATGGAGAAGAAACAGGTGAGGACTCATTTTTATTTAAAATTTTTATATAATATACATTTACTATTATTTACCCAATACAAAATAAGTGGTCTACAATTAGTCTCAAAATGATATAGAACTCTCATTCGCCTTTTTAGAGTACCCACTCTCATTGTAACGTAAAATACTTATATTAATGTAATCATATTCACACATAATATGACATTACATTGGCTCAATATTTCCCCATCAATTTGAATTTATTATTCTCCTGGAATTAATAAAATTAAAATAAATTCAGAAATACTGAAATTTTCCTATTATTATGTTTATTTTGTGAACTGCATATCAGGAAGAAGTGAGCCATGTTAAAAGTATGCCCTGTGTTCAAAACAATGTTATTGTGCCTTCAAGCATTAAAATATTTATTATTCTACAAATTATATAGTACTTTTATCATTTACCCGTGAAATTAATAACGATTCTAGAAGTATGAAAATGTCTATACAATACTAGAGGTTAGAACTACCGAATCTCGGTATTCGATCGATTCCAATCTCTATACTTAAACCAAGATTTATAGGAAATGTTTGTAAACAGAACACAAAGGTGCGACTATATCTGGCGTCTCCAAATAGAACTTTTCCAAGTTTCTATTCTCTCGGAACTATTCGGTTACTCTCTAATATTCAATTTGAAAGATCCAACGATCTCAAACGCGGTTCACCACGTCATTGGTGGTATTGGTTGTAATAATAATCTCGAATAAACCTTCTAAACTTCGAATTAACAGTTACAGAATAGCCTAGTTGTTTCTACATAGAAAGCGAAAAAGGGTCTAAATGGGACCGAACACGGCGGACTTAACGAAAATTCTACGCAAGATTGGTTTACAAACGTTACAGATCTATCTTAGCTTGAGCATATTGAAGGAAAGACCAGAATAGTACTCAATGGAAATTTTATTTCGTGCCATATTTTGTCACCTACCATATTTTATGGTGTAAAGCATGGCTTGACGTATAGCCTTGTTAAGATTACAGCTGTCAAACAATGATGAACTGTATGTACAATACATACAAATGACTCAGGATAATTATAGCTAAGTAGTACATACTTCGGTCTATTTTTTCTCGGCACGAATTGATTAGTCATTAATTTACGCATCAGTTTTATTGATACAATGCTAGGACGATTTTATTAATAAGTTCAATGCAAATTGTTGTCTTTTGTTCCATCAAATGATAGGCGATTTCCTTTGAGTACGTTAATACGTCTCTTAAAAGCAAGCCTTTTTTCATACATAAAGTACCTACATACTTCCGTTTCCCGACGCCTGTGTTACTGCTCAAATTTTCCAAATCGGAAAAAATCTAATAAAGATTTTTGCCCTAACCGATCAAACTCATCTTGCTCGGTATTACTACATGACTGTTTCTTCAATTATGTGTGAGTAGTTCAGTCAACAATACTTCCAATACAACCCCTTTAATAATTAGAATAACATTATATTCGGGTCCTCGCGACACTTTCACTGACTTTACAGTGTACTATAAATACGTGCCTACAATGAAATTTGTCTGTGTGTAACAATTGAATCAAGGTCTTATTCATAAGTGTGGACTATTTGCGATCTCGCACAACACCTACTTACTGAATAAATGATAATCATGTGAACTGAACATCGCGTCCGTGTGACTAACATTCCCAAATGTATGAGGAATTTTAATTATTTTGCCCTATTTTTTTAAAGCTGTCTAGTTTGAAAGAAATATGGATAAACTCAGTTATAATTGGGTATAGTGAGTAGTCGCATTGTCAGTGATGTAAATTAGATGTTGGCATAGTACTTACCTACTATGGAATTTTTCAAAAATCTCAATAGTAACAGTGGCAAAGCCCGCAATTACCTCAGAGTATTTTATGATTATTTTTTAAACGTTGCCCCACACTAGGATTTTCTCCTGTGTCGTGGGTGCGTTTACAAACATACAAGTTCACATACACATACCACC